TTATTTTATTTTATTTTTTTTTTTTGCTTGTGCGGGCGCTACATCTCCCTTTTATCCCTTTCTCTCTCTCTCTCTCTCTGAGAGGGTGCGCGTGTGAGTGTGGGTTTGTGCTGCGCATTTTGTTGCGTGGGCGTGGCTTTGTGCCTTATTTGCGCCTCGACACCCCAAATTTTCTTGCTTTTTTGGGTGCAATAAGGTGGACGCCGGGCCGCTGACGTCGTGGATGGAAGATGCATCACTTCTGGTGAGGCGTTGGGAGGAGTGCCTTGCAGCGGCCCGCCCCGGCTCAGGGAGTTGCGGCAGCGAGGGGGAAACAAGCGAGCGTGGACAGCAAAGGCGAACACAGGCAGCAGTCGCGGAAGCGGCACCTGTTGGAATGGCGGCGTTGAGTTTGTTGTTGCAAATAGATCGCAACGGGAACGAAGTTGCCGATGGCAACGAGGCTGCCCACGGGGGGGCAGAGGCTGTGCGGCTCTGCCAGCGGCTGAGCGAGGTACTTGTGGAGGCGGTTCTGGTCACTGTGGAGTCCTGCGTTCTGTGGACAGGCGTTGGGGCGGCAGTGGAGGCGGTGTGTCGCGAGCTGGGGGCGGCGTCCTCTCAGGCGAAGGAGCAAGCAGACCTTGCAGAGAAGCTCTGCGGCTGGTGGGGCCGCGAGGAGGTTGCAGAGCAGGGCTGGCGCTGGTGTGAGGCGCATCTCACACTCCTGCCAGCTGATGAGTCGGCGTGGCGCCATGGAGCCTCGCATGACGTGGCGACTCTCACCGATTGGTGGTGGCGCCCCGATGCGATGAGTTCACTCAGTCCACACCCTGAGCAGGAGGCAACGTCGGCTGCTTCTGCTGCACGGCCGCTGTTCAAGGAGGTTTATGCGACACTGGCGCGGCGGTGCCTTGGCGAATCCCCTCCTGCGGAGCTCTCCGACGCCACAGAACTTCTAAAGGCTCTACGTGAATCATCTAGGAGCCTCTTCTCCCACCGCATAGCGGTGGGTCGTGGCGTATTGCGACGCCTTTTCACAGTGAAGGCGACAGCGCTGCTGCATCAATCTCATCTCCTATGTTGTCTCGCCTTTCTAAAGAATGCTGCTCAACCTTGTCACCGGGAGATGGATGGAACAAAATCTCGCGAGAGCAGTGGACATGAATTGTTCTGGGTGTCGCGTGAGTGTCTCTCACTTGCATGGCGAAATCTTCTTGCGGCGATAACAGCGGTGCAAGTGGCTACAATGCACTTCGGTGCGTCCTGTGAAGACTTGCGGCGGCAGATTCGATTGGCGTTATTCGGCGCAAAGGAAGTGGCGAAAGAGGGCGACGGCGTCTCCCCACCTTGGAACGACGCCTTTTACGTGCACCCTTTTGCTGAGCCGTGTGAAAACACGTGTCGTATTACACACGGCGTAGGATTTATTGCCACGGGGAAAATCGGTGAGGGCAGTGTCATTCTGCAGGAACAGCCGCTTATTTACTTTGATGCCCCACATCAACGCACCGCCGGAACGGAGATGCAAAATGCCGAGATGTCAACTGTGACGAGTGCAGCACTCGAATTGTTTCGGCGTGGCGGTCTCACATTTAAAGGCGGTGCGGCGACGTCCCAAGCGACGGAGGCCCTGCGAGGTGGTGTACTCTTCGGAGCGACCCCTCAAGTTGGCGAACTGTGGACGGCGCTGCATCTGCTTGCCGTCATGCAACCCGAAGGTGACAACAGTAGTCGATCGGAGGACAGTTTTGCGCGCGACATTGCCGACCTCCTGCGCTGCTGGAATAATCGCGCCATTTTATTGCGCCCCGTGGAGGACTTTAGCATCGGCCAGCAGGGCGCCACCGGGGACGCGAAGTCCTTGTTTCCGTTTGCCTCTTTGCTAAATCACAGCTGCTCGCCAAACGCGCTACGCATCTTTTTTGAAGAGGGCGGTGGCCCCTCGCCAGTGGGGGGCGGTGGCTTGTGTGTTGTGGCCCTTCGCGAAATTGAACCCGGCGAGGAGATAACCGTCTCATATCTGCCGTCGCTCCTTCGTTCCAGGGAGGCAAAACGGCAGCGGAACGGCTTCTCCTGTCGCTGTGCTTTTTGCCTCTCGCACAGTGCACTGCTGGAGGGCGTGGTGTGTCCTGTGTGCCGTCAGCTCATTTACGACGAGCCCAGCGACGGTGACGCGGCTTCCTCTGTGAAATTAACTGACAGAGCAAGGCGGCGCGTGGCCCCATACGCACACGCGCCTGATTGCGCATATGTGGGAGGTGGCGGCCACTACAAGCAGCTTGCCGGGCACATGACACTTGGATTCAAGACGGCGCTTGACAAGGTACACTGCGAGCTTTTACAAAATAGTGATAGTGGGGTCGTGAATAAAGATGGAAGTTGCACGCAGGATGGTCCTGGAAATACAGAGTGGGAGAAAAAGGATGGAGAACCCAGGGAAGAAGACGATGACACTGATGCTGATGGCAAACAGTACGCACGGCGCGCTCGGAGGGCCGTGCGTCAGTTGATGGAACTTGACACTTTGGCGTCTGGGCTCCCAAGGACACACCACTATCGATTGCAGGCCAGGATGGAGTGTTTGGCCACGTCCCTGAATGCCAACATGACGCCACATGACATTGCACAACTGCTGCAACTAGGTGGGGAGCTCCTAGAGGATTTAGAGATGCTGCTGCCGCAAAATTACCCGCTCTTGACGGGAATCCGTCTTCACTATGCTCTTGCACGCAGCCGATACCTGATTGCCACAACAGACGTCAGCGATCCTGCAGCGGGCGGGTATCCGGAGGGGTGCTGCGGAGCGGTGCGTGAACAAGCGGAAATGATGCGTCTGCCATTTATGCGGGACAGAGTTATTCGTGAATGTGTGGTGCGGGCGTTTCAAGAGCATTACGTTTACACTGGCTGGCGCTTCGCGGAGGCCAAGGAGAGCGACCTTCTTCAAAGTTTTTTGCAACGATACAGGGCGGAACTGTTTGCGTGTGGTGTGGAGGATTGCTCGCACTTTGATATGTTGTCGCTGATGTCTGATGGGGCGGAGGGTGGCGACACATAGAAGATGTGTGTGCGTGAGATGTATGGCTGCCGGGGCCTTTTCTTTTCTAGTCCGGCGTCTCGTCTCCTCGTTGGGGAGGACTGGACGGAGGCACCATCCGCACGCTTTCCACGAACCCCCCC